ATAAAGTTGGCCAAGAAAAATATCATGGCTGGTAGTTTTGTATTTACTTTTTGGTGAACAGAATTAGAGAGACCAAGTATCAAGGGGCTTTAATTGTTTTAGATATCTGTGTGAATCTTTAAAGGATTTCGTGATCCAATCTTTTGCTTTGGAAGAAACGCAACCCTATGGAAATAGGCAGGGAGCACAAGATTTTATGGATATGCTAAGAATTGAACGTATTATTTTAAATATCTTAATTCTAATACTTGCATGTATCTCGTATACTCCGTTCCCGAGATTAAGCCGGTTTAAGGGGAAGCGATTCCATCCCCTCCACATTTTCTTAACTTTAAAACAATATACATTAAGCTAAAAGTGATAAAACTCAGGAAACCTTCCTTAAACCGTCTAAATTTTTTTTAACTTACTATAGTAACTGGTTCAGTTATTAAATCATAATAATTCAAGGCTAACTGAAAATATTGATATAAACACCAATCTCCACGTTAAATGGCCCAGTCTTACTTTCATACTTACTATTCACTTTGTCCTGTACATCGTTTTCCAATCACCGTTGCACAATTCACTAAAGATAGCCCAGGTAAAAGTGTTGGCAGAGCAGTCTAGTTCGGTTTTGGGGTTGTTGCAACAGGCCGGCCCCTTATAGCTGGCCACAATTAGATATTTCGCCATGTTCACTATTTCCATTCGAATTAATACCAGGTGGTCCGAGAGGTGTCCACCCTGCTCTGACAAGACGTCTCGGCCGCAAATAGCTATGAAATCACTCAAATTCGTTTTCCTTTGGCAGATCCGCCAACTCTGGCAGAGAGAGCCCGATTGTTTCATTGTATTTTAATCGAACAGAATTATAACTTCAAAATGAGATAATTGTTTGGGTTTTAATATCTTATTTTTTTATCATTATTATTGGAATTTTTAATGAGCAGCACTATTTTTCGTAGGGATTCTTGTAGAGGGAAAGAATTAGAAATATCCCGACGCCTTTAACGAGATATTTTGATATTATCTTAGGGATTCTTGCAGAGGAAAAGAAATAGAAATATCTCGACGCCTTTAACGAGATATTATTCTGATATTATCTTAGGGATTCTTGTAGAGGAAAAGAAATAGAAATATCTCGACGCCTTTAACGAGATATTATTCTGATATTATCTTATGGATTCTTGTAGAGGAAAAGAAATCTCGACGCATTTAACGAAAGATATTAAGATGTTAATCTAGATGCGCGGCTAGCCTAGTTTTTAAAACACACGGCCTCTATTCTTGGGAGTTGGTGCGCTGGTAAATATTTCACTAAACACTAATAACTTATACTAAATAGATGAAACCTGACCACAGTTCAGAGTATACCAAAAACTATTCTATAGGTCTATTTGTGAATAAAACAAAATAATATCTTTCGTTAAATGCGTCGAGATTTCTTTTCCTCTACAAGAATCCATAAGATAATATCAGAATAATATCTCGTTAAAGGCGTCGAGATATTTCTATTTTTTTTCCTCTACAAGAATCCCTAAGATAATATCAAAATAATATCTCGTTAAAGGCGTCGGATTATTTCTATTTCTTTTCCTCTACAAGAATTTTTAAGATAATATCAAAATAATATCTTGTTAAAGGCGTCGGGATATTTCTAATTCTTTCCCTCTACAAGAATCCCTACGAAAAATAGTGCTGCTCATTAAAAATTATGCTTATTATTAAATAGGAGGCCGTAGCGTTGGTTTGGCAACGTCGCACCGGCCGATCTATCGCCATGGTAATAACATGCGTATAAATATAGTGCAGAAACTCCACTATAAATTAGAGCAACGGCGATTTCAGTAGGCCGGGGCTGCGGCACTTTTGTCTCGCCATGGCATTGGAGAAGGCTGTGGTAGTATTCGTAACGTTAATAACCCAGAGGATAAGTATATTTGTTTATAGTGAAACCAGGCATAGCCAGGGGAGGGGGCAATGTTACCATATTACCTTATAGGTTACACTCACGGTGAAAACAAGTATTTCAATTAACTAAAGTCATACAAATTGAGGATACTATAACTTAATATGTTATTGCATTGCATTTTTTTGTCATAGGGAGTTAGATCAATACTAGTCGTTTCAAGTAGGATAAAGACTGTAATTTCAGAGGACGTTTTCTACGTTAGGTATTACTGTAGTTTTAAATAGCTTAATCTATTATAGTAGTATTATAGAGCGTTTGGTTATATAGGATTGGTTAAAAAGCTCAATAAATCATCTAAATCAACCAATCTTTGAGATTTAGTGTAGAAGCGAAGCATTTCAAGTTGTGTGATACTTCTACTCTGAGTATAGAAATGAAAATGTAGAAACAATTTGCGTAAAAAAACCCCATCAAACCAAGTCCTTTTCAAAACGGCAACAAACAAGAAAACATAAACAGCAACGTATTACAACTAAGCTTGCAAGTTGTCAAAACTCAATCAGCGTTCTACAATCGGAACTAAACGAGGTTGCAATCAAGTTGCTCAATGAAACCAACCGACGCGATTGATTGGTCCGTGACAGCTTTACGCTCTTCTCATTGGCCAGCTTGTTACATTGTTGCAACTCTGGTTGAACTACTTTATTACTCGCTCGCTGGAAATGGACCAAACACTTGTGTTGTGTGTCTGAATTACTCTACAGGGTCGTAGTTAAATATTCGTATGTTAGTTTTATATTTCCATTTGTTTGTTCTAGATGGGTCTTTTAAAGAATTTGTTTATCAGTGGCAAGAATTCTTTTTTTAAGTGGTAATCGCTAAGACTGTAGAGATTGTGTACGAATACTCTCGGTACTTAAGTTAGTTGAGCAATTGAAAAAAAGTATAACATATTACCACTAAATTAATTATACAAAGTAATTTCTATAGGGGTTTTATGGGATTTTAAAAAGATTCATAATCTAGCAACTATATTTGCAGACTATATTAGCGAAAAACAAGAAAGTGAGTACACAGTTTTGCCGGGAAAATATAATTAAACATACAGTAACAGTGATCATAAAAAGGTGTTGTGATCGTTGGATTTTTTGTCCGGGTTTACATAAATTACTGAATTAACGTGGCTGAAATTTCACAGAGTTTGTTCCTAGACCCAGCCAAAATACAGCTTAAAACATGTCCTTAAGAGTTTCGGGGCTAAACCCCTGGATGAGGAGCTTTTGGGAGTAAATATGGATTAGTCCTCATGAAAATAAAAATAATTAGCTGTATCAGCATTCTGACATATACTTTCTCCCATTAGCTTGCTAACAACCCATATTATGGGCAATCGGTGGGAGTAACTATGATATTTTATGTGGTAGGCCTATATCACAAAGATGCAATAACTTTTGCGTAATTTCTACAGCATTTGGGACTGTATCAATTTGTAGATATACCGTAGACAACGTATGTTTTATCTATGGTTATACCGACCATAACGCACTAAACCTTGAATCAAAATCATTCGAGCCGTATTTGTAAAAATCGGATTTTATTTTGTGGGTTTTAATGGGAAAATAACCATTACAAACTAAGGGGGAAAAAACGAAAACTTTTATGAAAACAATACTTTCTCCATGTAGGGTATAGCGGTAGTAAGAAAAAAAACCAGTATTAATATTTGAACTGTTTGCATTGACTGTGTTTACATTTTACGCCTTGTTACTTGTTGCAAAAACTCATTATCACCTAGTTTAGATTTTCTCTTGAGTAGCTATTATTCCTAGAACGGGTGTCAAATTTGCCAGTCCCATAAGCGTAAAGAATCAAAAATATTCTGTCCAGAGTTTATTTACGAATTTAATGCGGCCATCAAACCACACGCCACTCTTGTCTTTCTGCTAAACACCTGTTTACTACAGCTACTACAGATAGTGCTGGCCTCTTAGTCCGCCAGGCGGCCGCCTGGAGCGCTGCCAACGCTCTCTTATGACAAGTGACGTCATGAGTTATGACGTTTGCTGATTCCCCTCTCCCCTCCAACCCCCTCAAAAACACCTGCCCGCCTTTGATCTGTACATTGGAACCGACACCGTGAATTTGTTTGCTTTTTCAAACTCCGATTATGACAACAATGGGTCTGTAAATACTCAGATTATTTCTGTTCCCGTTTCTTCTTACAACTTCTGTCAGTTTTGCTGGGTTTATTGCCAGTTTGGATTTATTGTTTTGTCAGCCGGTTCTGTTTGTACATTTCTCTGTGTTAGATTGGGTTGTAAAAGAGTTTGTATGACTTTATTAGTAATAATTATTTCTTGTTGTAGTCTATGTATTAAATTATTAATTATTGATTTCAAAGATTGTCTCACAATTCGATCCTAATTACAAACTCTAGTAGTAGCTAAATTGACTTAAGAGTTAAAATAAGGTAACATTTTTTAAGAGTACAATTGAAGGGAGAATGGAGTGCTGTAAAAGGAGGCTTCACTAACTATAAGGGGGTTTAGGATAATAATTCATGTTGACTAAAACAAAATTTTCACTTTAAATGTTTTTTATCTCTATAATTACACGTTTTTGGTCGATTATTGTTTTACAGATTTAGTTTTGGTTAGCATTTCAACTTCGACAAGCAATGAAGTATACATCCGATTTCTATGTTACAATGGTTTAAGTTTGTTCTTGCAAATTTCTTTACGTTCACCAATTTCAATCTTTGAACAGCAAAAAACTGTGTCACTGTACAGAGAACTAAGCTACAGAGAAAACTTGCTTATGTGACAACCTTGTGCTTACAGCTCTAGTATGTTGTGGAAGTATACTTTGTGCCGAGCAAGGAAAAGCTCTAGTGGCGAGCACTGTACGGAAATTCCTATCGCAAAGGGTACAGAGTTTTCCTGCACCCTATGTGTTGTAGTACATGCGGGTGTTGGACTTTGCTCTATACACCAGCAACTAGTGCTAGACACCACTAACTGTTTCCTCTGCACCTTACTTCTCTGTGGTCATTTTTGATAAGTTACAAATAAAAAAAACAAATATCTAAAAGTTACTTCTCTTGCAGATGCACCCTCAGAACCTGAGACTATAGGAGGTAACGACTCCTTGTCGACCCTGGACGCCCAGTCTGATGTGACACCTGCCCCTGCCACAGTCCCCGTCCAACGTCCTCTCAGACTCGACATCATTCCGCCCCCGCCCAACAATCACCCGACACGGCGATCCCCACTGGTAACCATCTTTTAGCAGTTTAAGAGTCAATCACATGCACACTTAAGTATTTAATATAAGTATAAAACATTGTTAATTTCTAACTACAAAAATATTACAGTTACTATAGATTGTCTAGAGCTGGTCTAGTGGTAGAGCACAGGACTTTGGGTCCCTGAGGTCTCAGGTTCAAATTCTGCTTAATCATCATTGTATTTGATCTAAGTGATAATACTGAACCCCTAGGTCTAGTCTGAAGTAATTAGAAGTAATCCCGGGCTAGAGCTAGTGTTTGGAAAAAACTAAAATAAAAAAACCATGGGGGTTTTTCTAATTGTTCCGTTTAATTTAAGGAGTTAAAAATTGTTTTCGCCAATACACTTGACGTTTAAGATCATGATCACTTATTATATTTGGTACGTTATAACATTTCCATATATTCTTTTAAATGATGTGATAACTCTTTCAATTGTTGATAGTGTAAGGAGGGTTGCCACCTTTCGTTTGGGAAAAATATGGACATACAACCCCTTCCCCCTACATTAACATAGGCATAAACATGGACACAAGGGACTGTTCCAACAGAATTAGAACGTGTTATTGGACAATCAGAATTGAACGAGCATCTGAACAACGATGAAAAAAATGGCAACCCTTATTGTCGGTAACTTTACAATCAAATGGGCTCTTTGTAAATTCTTTGATGCTGGTCTTAAGTTTTAAAAAATGTTAAAAAAATCTTAAATTTTCACCTAATTATCGTCACTTCCAGAGTGGAGGAGAGACGTACAGTTCGCCATTGAGTGAACCTCTCAAGTCAGCACCAGAGTCGAGTCTGCCCTCGGCTGGTACGCCGCTCAGCGCTCACCACGAACTGCAGCTGCTGAGGGAACAGCTGGAGCAGCAGAATCAGCAGACGCAAGCTGCTGTGGCCCAGGTTCATCTGCTGAGAGATCAGCTGGCTGCTGAGACTGCTGCTAGACTGGAGGCTCAGGTGTGACTGGTGTAGCTTTTATATAAATTTTACATTACATAACACATAGAAGTGAGGTATAGAAGAAATACGCTTACGGGACGACTGTGCAATATTGTGCCGGAAATATACTGACGAGTAAGGAAGAGTCTGAACAACGAGCACTGTGTAGAAATGCCTAACACACAGGGTCTTCCTCCACTGTGATCATTGTAGTACATGAGGATGAGGGGGGCAATGTTGGACTTTGCCCTAGATCCTAGCACTATACTTCGTTCACAAAATTTAGGCGGTTTTAGGGGAAGAAATCTATATTGACGTCTTGATCATATCGTTAAAACATAGTAAGTTCAACAGCTGAGATTTGTCAATCAGCTGCAACATACACTAAGCAGAAAAAAGTGGTGGGAGAACTTCCCCGCAAACCGCCTAAATATTGTGAACTGACTATAGTGCTAAACATCATCAAAGTGTACCAATGAGTGTTTCCTCTGTACCTTGCTTCCCTGTGATTAAAGTAAGGCAATAACAAGAAAAGTTCCTAACTTTATGCTAAACTGTAGAGTCTCAACTATCTAAACTAAATAAGGACAAAAGAAAGGTCGAATTACTCAGGAAATAAAAGCGAAGTCTGATTTCCGGACACGGAAAGTAAGTACTCAGGAAATAACAAAACCATTGTAAACATGTTAAAAATCCTCTAACGGATAAAGCCTCTACGTTCCCTATTCAAGGTTTTAAATTACTTTGTGGTAGTCTTCTACTGAAACCTTTTTAGCATTTACCTATGCCCTTATCACAAATAATAGATCAGATGTAGCTCAGATATGCACAACAACTTGACAAATTTCTGGTATGCATACTCGCTCAATTTGAATGCATAAAATACATACTGTATGACTGTATAGCATTATTGTATGTATACTCATAGTACAAACAAATGTGACAAATAGGGTTTTTAGCGAATTTCCCATATAGGGAATAAGCTATTACCGTAGTACTCATGGTAAGACCTGGACCCGGGACCGAGAACCAGCATGATCGGACCGTGGGATCGGGGGTTTATGGGGGGTTTTATGGGGTAAAAATGGGTTTTTCCCATTTTTGACTCAAAATACATAAAATTTTGCAATTTCTTTCTAAACTATTTTGTAGAGCTTAAAAAAACAAATAATTTAGTATATTGAAGCGTTATAATGCACCTAATCGTTACGGAGAAAATTCCAAAAAATTGTAAATTTAAAATTCCCATGTTATTCTTATGGAGAATAAGTAAACTGTTGTAGTTTGCTTGTTTATTAACATATTTTGCCCAAATTTGGAAAATGTTTTTATTTCTTACTAACTATTAACATTTTACATAAAAAACACTTTTACCCTCCCTGTTGCAGCAAACCTAAGTATGTGTTAAACTGATTTTATTTAAATAAGGAATGTGATATTTTTAAGGAGACGTTTTAGTGTATTCTAATCAGGCAAATGGAAATTCGCTTAGTCTGCAGGTTTGCTGCGGCGGGGGTATTTTTATATACCTACTACAGTGTACATAACACAATTTTATAGTACCTGATCAACTGCATGGAGCATCAGATTACACGGAAGGCCAGATAGTTTAATCCAATAATCAAGACTCTAGGTATATGACCCAGTCAACATATTAATTATTTTGTTGATGAGAATTTGGTAGTCCTTGGTTTAAAAGAAAGAAACTTAAAAATGTTTTTTTGATACATAGATCAACACTACACATAAGAGTGTTTTATTCTATCTAAAAGTTACTGAAGAATTTGCTGTTGAAATTTTACCACATCATTTAACAAGTTTGTTTTGTCCCTCATTCAACCTCAGCCTACAAGGGAGAGTATTTTATTCTGTACTGTGTTTATGAGCTTTTAAAAATATTATTGGGACAAGATTCTTATAACACTAAGAATACAATAAGTGAATCCATTACATTGATCTTTGGTTAAGTTAAACTTAATTGGATTTGTTGTTGAGGAGCAATAAACAAGAGAACTAAGTTGAAGTTAAGTGCCTTAGGCTGAGCGTCTGAAGTCAGTTGGCAACAAGTTCATTTAGTCGTCAGTTAACTTTGTCGATCACAGTTGGCAATGAAGCTCCTAGTGGTTACTTTGATAAGCGATATTGCTTCAAAGCTTGTCATAAACTGTATTCAATTTGTCCCTTCACTTCCAAATTTAGCAGAGCAGAACTGAATCGTGATAATGGATTCTATATTTTTCCTTATAGGAATAGTATTTTTCATTACTATGACCGAAAGTGGCTTTTTCCGTCGCACGCTCTTCGCCTCACACAGTGAACCCCAATTTCACGTGTGAGGCGAAGCCGAGTATGTGAGAGCTATTTTCACGTACGAGGCGAAGTCGAGGACTGGAAAAAAGGAGCAAGTGCCGGATAATAACTTTCGGTACGAGTTATGAACGATACTTTTCATCACGACGCAAAAATACACAAACACAGATTAGCAGGCCGCAGTAATATTTCAACTATTTTATTTCTCAATTAATTTGATTAAACATCAAATTAAAATAAATAGGTAAATCTTGTAAAAAGAAAACCTACATATATTTCTCAATAAACTTTGTTTAAACATGAAAATAAAAGAATAAAACAACTTTTAACAATACATACATCCTATACAGCTGATTCAAATCATTAAATTAAACCGTAACAAAACACTAGCGCGCGTAGAGAATAAATGGAGAACTAATTGAGAGCGAGGGAAAGAAAATTTAGAGCGAGGGAAAATCAGCTGATCGATTTTCCCTTGCCCTAAATTAGAGCTTGGGAAACAACTACTTTCATTGATGTCAGCTGTTATCGAAAATAGTTACTTTCGTTACGGAGTGTTGAAAATTTTTTTTGTTTATTCACTTAAGTTAGTTGGAGATTTTCCATAGTATATCATGATGGAAATTTATCATGGAACTAGCCATGACATCAAAAAACAAAATGTTATAATGTTAAGAAAACAGGGATACCAACATATAAGCTTGGTAAACAGTTTTAAACAGTCTCTCACAATACTTAAAATTTGGGTTACGTTAAAAACACCTGGGAAAAGTGTTTGTATTATTTTATATAATTTTATCTGAATGAAGAGAGTCGTATAGTTTAAATGCCTATTCATCAAATCACTCTGATTATGGCAGTTGTTTTATCACATGCAGTCACTAAATCTGTCCAAACGCTACCAATGAAAGTCCACATAACAGTTCATTAAACTTTGCTTTATTTATAAACAATGAGTCGAATATAGCCCAAAGTCGTTCCATTTACACCTAAGTGTCCAGACTCATAAATCCCTGTTTACTGTGCCATAATCTAACAACAGAACATTAACACTCTTTACAACTCTACCCAGTACTTGCTTTAAAATATTCACTGGCTGGATGTAGCCTGTGAATACCAAACCTAGACAGTGAACATATCTCTCTTTGAAAACTTTCAGCCAGATGTGATTTTTGAAATGAAATATTACTGAGAAAATTAGTTGTAACATATAAATAGTTCAACAAAGTAAATAACAAACTTAACTTTTTTTAGTTAGTGAAATGAAATGTACAAAGAGATATATTTTGTTGACCATATCACTAGTTTCTCGCCCGAGGTTCTCAGATTTTCAAGATGAAATTGTTGACACAAGGGATTTTCAGAGAACACAATTACTGTGTTTTTTGTTCAGTTAAACACTCATGGTGTGTTTTTGTGTATGTTAAAGCCACATATCCAGCAGAGTTACTTACTTGGAAGTACCAGTAAATGTTTCATATGTTAAATTAAAACATTTGCTTGATATTGGGTCAATCTCAATCTTAGATCAAAAGTGTTTTACCCATCTCTTTAATTAGATGCCTAACAGTCTAATCCTTTTCATAACTTCAGTATTTATTAATACTTGCAGGGTGTCACAATCGAGGCTACCAGTACAATTTAATTATTGTAAATTAAATCCAGATTTGATCTACAATTTGATTCCTGCTTAAACAAACCTAGGTTCATCAAACTTTTACTCTCAAGAAAATAGAATTGCTTTCCGATATTTATTTAAGAAACTTAATTAAATAAATATTGTTCACCGTACAGGCTCGAACCCATCAACTTCTGGTCCACAACAAGGAGTTGTTAGACCACATCAGTGCTTTGGTAGCTCACCTGCAAGAGACTGAGAGGCTTCAACAGCATCAACATCAACAACAACAACAACAACAAAATCAACATCAACATGTTACTTCTGTTCCCCAGGTATGTGCTATTTCCATTCCACTTGGGGTAGTTTGCAAGAAACCTTTTTTTAATGTAGTAGCTATAAAATTATTGAGTGTTTACTTATTAGGCTTGATCTTTAAAATATAGTTTATATCACCTAATGTAAACACTTATAGGGTCTTTATGGAATTCCTTGATGTTGGCACAAAATTATGTTGTATTTAATTTAGATTTGTGATGTTTCCACATGAAAGTAACCCTTGAATTGAGATTTTTATACTTTTCTTCATTATGGCATCGACTTTGTCGATGTTAGAAAAGTGATCTAGTTTGTAAACTCGTAGTTTAAAGTAGGTAACTTATTCAATCTTGTATTTTTTCAAGATTAGCGTTAAATTTTAACTTTATCGAATAGTTCAGATCACCCTGCATAGTGGTTAATAATTTATAAATTGGATTAAACATCTCCAGCAATCCTTTAACAAAATCGTTTAAACTATTCTATCTTAGTGATAGACCCAAACAATCCATGATAGAACAAATCACAAAACATTTAAAAAGATGAGTTAATTGCCTAGAAAATGTCTTACAAAATAATTTTCATAACAGGTCAAAATTCAAAACAATATACAATATAAAAAATAAAATAAACAAATAAAAATCGGGTACATAAATTAAATATTTTTGTTAAGTATGAAGTAGTGTATTGTTATATTATTAATATATGAATACTACTCATTTGAAAATTTTTTTTCTTCATTCTTTTATTACGAGCTGCGTTTCGAGCAACGGGTTATCTAGTTACTTCAAAACAAGGTAAAGCAGATTGTAAGATAATGCTGCCTCCAGTGGCTAGTTATGGAACTAAACACAAATTCAATCTTCGCAGTGTATAGTCTGTTCCTTTGATCAAGCTTGTAATTTACAATGAGTTGTGGAAACAAAAGACAGTAATGTGGTCATATAAGACTAAGCAGTTATATTATATAGCATTGTTTACAGTTAAAAAAACTCAAGTCCAGTCAAAGAATGAGGTGTAGAGTGCGTGAGCAGGTAACTAAGCGATTCCTTCAGAAACTTGTTCAGGGGGCTTAGGGTGTTAACATACCAAAAGTCCTGACTCCTAGGTGGTGAGCCAGGGGGTGGAGAGGGGAAAAAGGGGGGGAAAAAGGTACGCATTTTGGGTTTTTTTATTATATCTCGAAAACTATCAACTTTTCGTATACTATAGTAAATTATAAAATTGAAGAAGATTAAATTTTCTACAAGAAAAGTATATAATGTGTTTATTTTGGTTCAACAGATTACGAGTTATAACTTATTTAATTGATATCTTATTAAAATCTTCTTCCATAAGAAATACATGTAAATTAGTATGCGAAATGGGGCGAATCCTATCCGCCCAAAGGAAATATGAATGATATTCTGGAAATCTTGACAAAATTTCCAGTAATTTGACACTTTAATCATTAAAATTGATCCAAAATTAAGGCGAGGGCGAGGTAACAAAATTTTGAGTTTTGGTGTTTTTTTATTGGAAATATAAAAAAAACCTTAAATCATCCCATTTTTAAACGCTCACCCTCGCTTTAATTTTTGACAAAATTTCATGATTAAAGTGTCAAATTACTGGAAATTTTGTAAATATTTCCAGAATATCAGTTATATTTCCTTTGGGCGGATAGGATTCGCCCCATTTCGCATACTAATTTACATGTATTTCTTATGGAAGTAGTATTTTAATAAGATATCAATTAAATAAGTTATAATTAGTAATCTGTTGAACCAAAATAAACACATTATATACTTTTCTTGTAGAAAATTTAATCTTCTTCAATTTTATAATTTACTATAGTATACAAAAAGTTGATAGTTTTCGAGATATAATCAAAAAACCCAAAATGCGTACCTTTTTCCCCCCCTTTTTCCCCCCTCCACCCACTGGCTCACCACCTAGGAGTCAGGACTTTTGGTATGTTAACACCCTAAGCCCCCTGAACAAGTTTCTGAAGGAATCGCTTAGTTACCAGCTCACGCACTCTACACCTACTTTTGGATCATTCATTGACTGGACTAATTGTACCACTTACTTTTATAAATTTCTACAGGGTACATCAAGCCAGCTGTGGTAAAAAAAGACCAACTAACTTACTACTGATCAACTTTATTGATACAAAAACAAAGTCAATGTAGATAGAAACAAATAAAAACTACGCAAGTTTTTTTTATTCACATGAATATGCTTGGCCTATATTCTGTTTGAGTTGTTGATAAACTTATGTGAAAAGCCAAGCCAGTGATTTATTTTATTTACCTGGCTCAAACAGATACGTTCAGACATATTTTATAATATTATGGATAGACGAGCGGTCCTGGGCGGAAATTGTGCATCATAATAGGGTTGAAAACTTATTTTCAATGTGTAACAAATAAATGGATACTTATATACTTTTCAAAGATTATATTTGCTTAAGACAAGGTGAATAAAACTACTAATATAAAATAAATTAAATCCGTTGACTTTAGATCTACACAATAAAAATGGATTATCTTCCTCGATCAGATTATTAACATCAAAAACGTTTCCTATTATCAATTTTCATAAACTCTTATGTCTTTATAGCTGACTGCGGTTAAACATTTAACTTAAGGATCAGCTGTTAAATTACATTCATTAAGGCCATAAAGAAAGTTTGTCACCATCACTGTGTCTTATGAAAGTTATCCCTAAAGAAAAGAAAATTAAGTTTTTTGTTACCATTCGTCTCTTCACTAGAAAATAAGCTTTCGTCCAGTCCATTGTATAAATATGTTGGTTTTCAAGCCAATTTGTCAAATAATTGTTTGGAACTGTAACTTTTTTTACGCCACACTACATTATTTTGACGAACTTCCCACGCAAGGATTTAGTCCAGAAAACAGCTGTTTGCCGCCAGCTTATTCAAATGGGGTTTCATTGCGTACTACTGTGCTGCAATGAGTTTTGCCGGACACCAATCAGCTGATTATACTGTATTTAGGTGGCAGTGAGTGGTTATAAACAAAAACATAACCTCTCTTAGAGGTTATGACTAGTGATTTTTAGTCCTTTAGTTGGTGGAAATATATAAGGATTTGTACGGATTTAGTAGTATGGCGTAAACTATCGTACGTAACTCGTCCAAAATGTGTGTACCGGACTCGTATGGTAATCCCGTACTCGACTTCGTCTCGCACGGGAACGACCACACTCGTCCGGTAAACACTTATTTTCAGGACTAGTAACGTAATATACTATTACACCATTTACTATCTCAATACTTAAAAAAAGGTTTCTTGCACAAAATTGGTTAACTGTATCAAAATATTGTACATATTAGTTAATTATCATAATGCATGGCATGTGTATAACAGCTAACTTTGCTTTATGTTGCTTTGCTTTGGGCTCCATTCATTGGGATTCACTGATTGGTATACGGGTCATAAAATCAATAATATTGAAAATATATATCAAATCCCCATTACTGACCTAATAAAATATTAGTCCTCTAAGTTTCCTGTTTTGTTTTAGTTGTGTTCTGTATTAGATTTTATTTTGGTTTATGAAGTAGACATCTCATTTACATTAATCAGGTTTTAAAATTGTGTATAAAGAACATTGTTGATTGAGCTTCTCATAGTGTGAAATTGTTTAAATATTTGTTTCCCTCTTTCAGACTTGTTCATACTATATACTATGGTAGGTCATGGGAACGTAAAAAATAATTTATCTTATCAGTTTGGCACTATCAAAAACTAATTGTATAGAAGAGTTGGGGGATTTACACTATGTTTATGGATTAATGGACAACTTAAACATGTGTAGTCCTTCATGATAAATCCAAGTTAATCCATTGTTAAATAATTATGTTTTATCATTGACTATTGGTTTTATTAAAACTGAGTTGTTTACTTTGAAGCCTTTTATCTAACTACATTTGAAATAGATGAGCTACATAAGTTTTACAATATCTTTTAGTTAGTTTTATACCTTTAATAGGTATTGTGTTGATATAATTTTGTGTTTTGTAAGTAACATCCTTTTTGTATTGATTGTTTTAATTGTGTTTCCATTTGTTTACACTGTTGTTTTCTAAAAAAAAGAAGAACATATTGAAAAAATCAAATTTTAAACTACTGACACTACTGTAATTAGTACAATACCATACAAAACTGCTGATTCATCATAAATCCACACTTGATTTTGTATAGAATTTAGTTCTCTAAAAATAATGTTATGTACTAGATATTCTGGTGAGTTTACGCTTAAATATTTAGATTTTTTTTAAATTTGCTTTAAAAACTATTAACTTTACTTTTTTGTTAAAATTTTAACATAATTTTCCTTAGAACTACAAGAATATAAGTTAAGATGAATAAAAATAAATGTGTATCATTGTAGTCAACACTGTTTAAAAAACAACTGCAAACTAAACAACAATATTCATGTTGTAGTTAAATATGCTGGGAATGTTTTACTGTTAATTTGAATGTGACAGACTAAACCCGAATTCCAATTTTAGCTGTTTGCTTTGTTTGTTTGTTGAGTTGATTGCAAAGCTGTATTGTTCACAGGTCTTGCGAGAGGATTCCAACCCTTCCAACAATAATAACAATAACAATATCAATGACAATATCAACTCTTTAATTGATTTCTTCTCTGAATAACCCAAGTAGTGTGCTTTCAGCATGATTTTAAGATTTGAAGAATTTAAATAAGCTAAATTCATAATTTGTTGAATTGAAATATTCTAGTTATTGAAGAGACTGTTCAAGATATACTTTTACAAGTACTAAGCTGTAAAATCAAATCATCATCATGTACCTTTGATTTTGGTTGAAAATTTAATTTGTTGTGAGGACGAATTTGATCAGTGCCAAAATAAGTTTGTAGTTGCTGAAACAAATATCCACTTTCATCAGATAGGATTAAAACCATGATGTCTGATAACAAAAGTGTTTGTAATTAATTATTGGGAATAAAAATGTTCTCTATATCAGTTGTACTGTCAAGTGACCCTTTTTTAAGCGTCCACGGTTTTAAACCTGAACAAACCTTAAGAATCTAGTCATGGCTGTGTGCCAGCTACATCATGTGTCAACTATCAATATATAGGGTAATTTTTGACAATTATTTATAATCCCAGGGATGAAGAAAATCTTTTATAACAACTTAATATTCTGCTTGGGCGATACCCTGGTCACTTTACCGAAAGACAGCACCAATAAATGACATAAATAAATATCATTTCATAACCCTTTATGAAATAAAATCAAATACTTCTTCAATCAATCAATCCTTTTCTTCTATCAATATCTTGTTACATACTTTTTATTTTCCTGTTATTTTGACCTTATAAATCTTGAACAGTCTCACAGCTGAATGTCTAAGCTAAGTTTGTGATACAGTCTCAGATGGGCATGATGTGCGAGCCTCAAACTCCGTCCCTCGGATCCGTCTACCTCCAGGACTACCCGGATATAGAGACCATCCGCCAACTGACCAATCAGGGACTTCTGGATAACCGGAACATCAACCAATCCTACCTGCAGGGTGTTCCCGGATCTCCCAGACAACAGAGGAGTATGATGCCGAACGTCTTCAACTTCGGTCTGGCTGATCAACAGTTCCAGAACCAACTCTTGCAGCGGTTGCAAAACATCACGCCTCAATATCGAAACCAGTACTACCCGGTCGGAGGAATGTATCAGCAGAACACGCAGCAAACTTCACCGCAGCAGTTTAATTTCCGGGTGTCCCAAGCTTCTTCCTACGCTAGTTCGCCAGTGCTTGCACACAAGAAGCAAGAGAGCGAGGAAGGTTCACAATTCATCCGTCCGTTGTCTCAAGGAGGATTGACGACAACTGAGACGGAAGGAAGAACGAGAGTTTTGGTCGGAGCAGACGACGATGTTGACGTGCCGAGACTTGACCCGCCTCCGTCGGGGGCAAAACGGAAAGACGGGAAACGTGATCAACTCTCCGCTGCATTCAACACCCTCAGGGTTTCTGACGAGGAAGAACTTCGAAGGCCAGGTTTTCAAAACGGACCTTTCATTACGAGGTCGACTAGTGAGAAAGTTCCTAACCGAAGTGAACTAATGTCACAAGTACAAAGAACTGCTTGGGCCCGACACACTACAAAGTGATCGTTCATTACTGCGTAGGACGGACTATATCAAATTTGTAGCTTCCCTCGGGTGAAGTTTTGTATCAGGCTCTTAAAATATTACTTTTACAGGAATTAACAGTGATCTTCGGGACTTATTTACACTGACTTCACTTAACGTCCTGAATGGTAATGTTTTAATTGCTTTGGATTTTATTTAGTGTTGTTATCTCCAATGTTACGGAGTTGTATAAATGTAATATAGTGCACATTTTCTTTGTTGACAGTTTACCAAGTTACTTAATATAGAAATATCAATCTCAGGCTAGAGTCAGTAACAAGATTACCACTTTTTGTGACAAAATAATACGCCAGAGACATATATCATAGCATTTGTTTACGTGATGGTAACTTTTCTTACTGAAACAATTTTAAAGTTCTTCCCTACACCCTAAAATTCCTATTATGGATAGTTCTTTGTTTGTGTTTTTTACCGATATTTGCTTTTATACCTATTTATCTATACCACTTAAGTATTTCCAATGTTTTTTTTTTTTACAAACACACTTCCAGTCATGTGAATTTTAATAGCAGTATTATTATTGAGTTTAGTTTCGTATTTTGACAATGTCCAAAGTATGTTTTAGTAAACAATGCAACTTAAAGTATAAACTTGACCTATTGTCAAGGTGTTTCAATTTCAACAGTTTGGATTAATTTTGTTGTTGAGTATTTTTAAGCAATCCCCTAAGTGATCCTTCACCCGCTGAACTGATCTTAGTTTTTAGATTCGTAGAAGACGTTTTGTATGAGATTAGGTAAGGCCTAAGGCAGTTGATACTTAAGCTGTACCAAGTAACGGTATTTAAAAATCTGCTCATTATGTTTCTTGTCCTCCCTACTTTTGACAAGTAACCTATAACTTGTTTTGTCTTTCTCACATGGAATAGACACCTAACTGAGATGGAAAATGTTCTCCATAAAAATTCTATTTTTAATTGTAGTGATAAAATTTAATTTAGTATTTTGACTTGCCAAACATTATTTTAAAATTGTTTAGCTATAACTAAATTGAAGAAGACTCCATGTACAAACTTGTAAAAACATCTACCGATTATACAGTAAGATAATAATGTTCCTGAATTTAGTTACAATCTTTCCACATTATACATGTTTTGTGTCAATATCATATCTGGATTATAACTTCAGATGAAATGGATAATGATAATATACTTGAAGTTTTGAACTTCACTTGTCTAAAAATTATCTTGTTATTTAATTTTCTTTATGCTAACTGAAATGAAGGAACACTGTACTAAGTGTATTTAAAGTACATGGTAATAGCCTTTTTAGATTTAGTTTTCTTTTAAGAAAAGAAAAGGTTAAAGATTATGTTTCTAAATTAGACCAAACAACTTCAGACGAGTCCTCCATATATTTTTAAACGGATCAAATAGTTGTAGACGTACTCGGTGCATCTACTGTGTATAAGTTAAAACTATTTTATATAAGGCGTTTACTGCTGTACACAATTTAAATTTTGGAAGTGGATTTTTAAATATCAACGTAGGCTAAGTTGCAAGTAATACAGTTGTGAAATCATCAGCAAATTTTTATAAGATATATCATCTAAAAATATTGTAACTCCTCAAGACTTAATCAAATCACTCAGTATTCAATTTGTGCCAAAGTAGAAGATGTGATATGTATATGAAGTTACAGTGTCTTCAAATGAATCTTGACATTTGAGCTGCATAGTGTAGAAAACAATAATTATAATTAAAATCCCATACTCGAGCTACAGTAAATGTATTTTAAATTCTATTCGCTTGCTAATGATTATTAAAGTCAAGTAAATATTCTCAAGTTCCACCTAGTGACAATTAAAAGAATATTTGAGTTAAGTTACCATTTACTTATAACAATTAGTTTTCTTAAGTTCAACCATTGTTTTGAATCATGGGGACATTTTCCTTAGTCATAAGTTTATTTCCATGACTGCAATAAATGTATTTTTATAATAACAAGGTGTTCTTTATTTTGGTCCTGTGGCGCTTGCTTTGTCTATTTTTACTATTTACTCCGGTGCCAGGTTTTGGGTAACTCGACTCAGACCATTGTTCTTAACAATCCTAATAATTCTTTAATCCAACCTATTTTTGTATCACATACCTTAACATACATCACTCAAGTAGTTCTGATATTAGCAACTGGCATAACACTCATGCTTATACCATTTTGTTAACAGAATTAGATAGCTTTCAGACATTTTTAAAGACTATTTGAAAAGTAAAGTAGGTATTGTATTTCAAATCTACCTCATATTTTTGTTACAATTTTAAATTTTCAAGTTTACCCATGGTAAGTTTTAAATAAAACACTAATCACGTTTAAGGATTTAAATTCAGTCTTATTCAAGCTGTTATTAGTCTATAGCCTTTTAAAGCATGTAATAATGAAAGCATTTGCAGTCTTCGGATATAAAAAATAAATATATAACGCATTAGAAACTTACTAAAATTATTTTTAGGTTAATGCTACGATAGTTAACTTTAAAAATGCATGTACAGTATTCTACAGCAATTCAAAAGAAAGTCTTAACCCTTAACCCAACAATATCTCTAACTATTTTTTGAAAAGCATTATTTAATGTCAAAGGTTCTGATGTATGATTATGTATCCATCCAATTGTTTTTAACTTATTAATATAATTGAATATACACACTGGTTATATAGAAGGTGTGAGTATACATGCTAGGTACCGGTATCTAGTCAATGGTAATATGACTAGCAACATTATTTACAGGGTGAAAAACGCTTATGTATATAAAAAAAAATATGGTTTTACTAACATAGAGTATTTCTAAATGTCTTGATCATAACCAAATGTGAGCTTACTAAACACAGCAATGTAGCTTCTCACAAATTCACCAGCTTCTCACTCGCTAGCTTCTCACTAACTCACAGGTGGAAGACGGCTTGGTCCATGCTTGGTTGAGAGGTTTCTTGGGTGAGATGCGGTGGCTTCACTTCTTGGGCACGGTGAGCATTTTGTTTATAGTGTGTGTGTTTTGTATAAACACTGTATTACATGCAGATAGTAATGTTTGAATTCTTTTTGTGTATTCGTGACTTTTGTTTTACAGTTAATACAGTGAATTTGACTGAGTTAGTTTATGTGTTTGCACAGAGAAGTAAGGTAGAGGTCTCTTATGAATAAACTGTGCGCTTTCTGATATGTTATGCTGGAAATATACTTAGCAAGGAAGAGCTCGAACGGTGAGCACTGTGTGGAAATTTCTATCGCACAGGGCAGAGGGTCTTCCTCCACTAAGAGTGTTTTAGTACATAGGTGTGGGGGGGGGGGGGGTTGACTTTGTCCTAGACACAAGTGACTAGTGCTAGACACTACTTAAGTGTCATTAAGTGTTTCCTATGTACCTTACTTCTCTGTTGTGTGTGTAAAAAACTAAAAAATTATGTTTTGTCCTTCAAGTTGTTTATATAGGATGTTCAACCGTTTTTTCTGGCTATCGTATGAATTTAACACTCTGAACCATACAAAGTAAATCTATACTGGTATACTTTTAGTCAATTTTCTTATAGGGAGGAAGCTATTACAGTAGTTCTCTTGGTAAGACCAAGACCCGATAGTGATTTCCTTTTTGGTTCTGATGTTCTCCAGGCCAAAAATACCATCTGTTTAAATTTATGTAGATATGTTTCAGTTAGGACTATAGCTTGAATAAAAATCATCGGATTTTGATTAAATTTGGTAAAAAAACCTAAACAATAAACCAACGTTTATTCAAACCAGTTCGCAAACCGCCATTTTTTGACTATGGAAACAGGGTTTCATGAGGGGCTTTAAGGGGAAAATGGATTTTCCAATTATGTTCCCCAAAATATAGGCCTACCATTTAAAAATTGTCTTTCGAAACTATATTGTAGAGTTTAAAAAATCAATGATTTCATAATATTGAAGCGTTTCTGTACTCCTAATGGTTATGGAATTTAAAATTTTTTTATGTAAATTGAAAATTCCCATGTTATTTATGAACAAATTAACTTAGAGAAATATCCATAAACTGTTGTAGTTTACTTGTTTATTGATAAATTTTGATGAAAATTGGCAATTTTTTAAATTTAATACTAAGTTTGGCTACATTTCAATGAAAATCCCACTTTATTACCTACTCTGTAATAAACCGGTAAACCTCTATGTACTCATTAAAATTCATGTTTTAAGGAAATGTTTGAGTGGAAATCCAATCAAATGGAAACACGCCTAATCTGCAGATTCGGTACTGTGGGGTATTTTTCTTTTGGCGCCTCTACATCAAATGCGCAATCAAAACTACTGCGTAGTTAATGGTGCTTGCTCCAAACAGAAAATAATTGCCCAACATCAACTAACTGAAAAGTAAAGCAGCCAAATGAGCACTGGATAATGAGCAATTGCAACACTCCTAATCCAACTGCAAATTCTGTTTTGCTCGCTTTCGTGTTTGTATTCAGTTTGACTGCTGGGTATTTTTAGGAGTAACTCAGTAGTGGCATGTTGTTTATAGATAAATGAATAATTACTCTGCTCTTATATATAATATTCACTCCAAGGGTACAGAATCTTAATAAAACTACCCTTAATAAAACAGTAGGAAATTAAATTTGTTCATCATTTGTTCTTTGGGCTGATATTAACTTAAATCTGAAGTTGTCATCTTTCCACTGAGAATTTATAAATTATTATTTTTTTTTTTTAAGTTATTCTAGGCCTATGACTTGAGGCTCTAGCTCAAGATCTTTTTTCACATTACTTCAGGGTATACCTAGGGGTTGCTGCATTATCACTTAGATGAAATCCATTGGTGATTTGGCAAGATTTGAACCCGTGATCTCAGGGAAAGATTTTGGACTGTAGTCCCGCGCTCTACCAAACTTAAAATAGTTAACTATGAAAAAGTATTTAATCAAATTGAAGGTACAAAAGAAAGTTTAGACATATCAAAAATAGCTAAACAAACAGTAAAAATAAATTGTATATGAAAGGGCCAGTAATTAATAGCATTAATATTTCGCTAAATAAAACCCAACAATAATCATAAAATGTTTCCTATATCTATGTAGAGCTGCAAAAACTAGTGCATGACAAGTTTTCTTAAAGGTCTGAGGATTATATTCAACTTTAAACTTTCTTTTGTTCACTAATATACAAAAGAATATACAATACATATGAAGCTGAATGTATGTATGTATGTGTTGTTGTCATGTGTATTAAAAATATTACATTCTCTAGATTTTACTGTTTTAAATATCTAAGATGCAATCCCTTACAGTCATTTATTTGCTATTTTAGATTTACTTGGTTAAAACGTCATTGTATACAACAGAAATTGCTAATCCCCACTCTTTGCCAGTGACACATTTCAACTATGTCCATTTATAATCATAAACTATCTATGGCCTTTGATTATAAATAGGACCAGACATTCCATACCCCTAAAATTCCAGCCCTATTGAGAAACAAAATAAATACAGTTGAATGTTCCACCGACAGAGTTGAGTTCCTAATGGAAGTCAATTTGTTTTCTAGAATACATCAGTTTAAAAACCAAGAAAAATCAAAAGAGCAACCTTTTTTTGATGGTAGCACCTTTTGAATCAAATCAACTACAGTACCACGGTGAAAGATACTGGCAGCATTTTCTGTGAGTGGCTTATTCTGACATTCAACAGATTATTTTAATAAAAAATGTGTTAAAGCTGGTCCATACAGATAGGTACCTATACTTCAGTATTCAAAAGTTAATGTTCAAACTCAAAGGATTTCACTGTTTAGCTAAAACCGCACAATTGAAAATGAAAATGCGCCGAGAAAATGTCTTTCTGTTTGCGGATAAAGCTGCGGTTCAGTAGAGTGGGCAGGTTACTTGCCTCTAGTGTATTTCAAGTTACCTGCAGCAGGTAACCTGCCCAGCAACTCGCTTCGTGTAAACGCGGCTTAAAATAGTTTTCTTTTCCAACCACTTCAAATAGTTTTATTGACAAACCAGGAGCTAATATTGTATATTTTTGTGGCATATTGCTC